TACATATATATATATACATATGTGTGTAAGTGTGTGTGTGTGCTTTAATGTCGCACACTATTTATTAGCCTTAGGATTAATAAATCTATTTGGTCACCGTCCTAATGAAATCACCAACGCCCCAACTCCAAGCCCGAGCCCAAGCCCAAACCCAAACCCAAAGCCCCAGCTGGCAGACCCCCAACTTCAACAGGGCCGCAGGCGCAGCAGCCTCATGTGTGTGTGTGTGCGTGTGTTTGTATTTGTTGATGCGGCTGACGCAACGCCAGCAGATATGTATCTTCGCACACACACACACACACGCAACAGCTGCTCCCCCGGCCTGGCAAAACCCTCAAGTAAGAAGCGAGGTCGCAGCGGCCAGCAAATGAGTCCTGGCCGCATACGGCTGGGCCAATGGGAGGGGCGTGGGCGGGGGCGGGGGCGGTGGCGGTGCGATTGTGGGCGGGGCTGGGGACTGTGCTCAGAAGTTGCCAATTTGCCTTTTTGAATTTACGCATAGCTAAAAGTATCCTTTCGGAAACCACAAATATTTACCCAGCTCAAGGCTCAGGTCTGTGGTCGCCTCGAGTCCTACTGCACGCTGCCCCCCGCTCCCCGCCCTCTTGGCCAGACAGGCCGCAGGCGACGCCATCGTGTTCTGCCACCCATCCCCGCCCACCTCCCCTACATCTACATCGATGCCCTTAGCCCGAAGTCACTTGCAACGACTGCCTGGCGGCTGTCTGTCCCATGCGTCGTCCAGGACTGGCGGCTGGCAATTTTCTAAATCTGTCGGACCATCATTTTCAATCCTCCAGCTCGTTCGCACCGCCCCGCCCCGCCCCGCCCCATCCGTCGAGAGTGCCCGTTCGGATGGTTCGGCGAACCCCAAAAAGCCCTCGACCAGAACTTATTTTTCCATCTGACACTAGCCAAGTTGGACCAATACTCATATTTACACCATATGCACACACACACACAAGCACTTCTATAAAGTGTGTGTGTGTGTGTGTGTGTGTGTGTGTGTGTGTGTGCGGCGCCTGGAAAAGACTTTTGAAATGAGATTAAAAACGGCAAATTCCTGCAAGGGTTACACATCCTTCGGCTAAGAGTAATGAATGCGGTTTCTGCCCAAAGTCAAATTTTAGAAAGTGTTTTATTTGACTAGGTTAGCGCAGCAGCCCAATACCGACCACCGACCACCGCCCTCTCCCCTACTCCTTCCCCTTCCCCTTTCCCCATCCCCTTCCCCTTCACACCCAAAAAAGCCTGCACGCGACCAAAAGCATACAAACAGAGTGAGAGGCAAGGGGAAGGAGCGCGAAAGAAAAGCAAGGAGTGAATATTCAAATGAAAGTTTTGATATTTCGAAAAAAACCGAAATGCAATTTTGGAAAAATGGTCACATTGCATGTAAATTGCAGTGTTGTAAAATACTGGGAAACATTATTGGATAGCTAACAAAGATCTTGATCAAAACTGGTATAAATAACAACAGCAACTTACGAAAGCTTTCGGACTACCTATCCCTGACTTAAGACCTGTTTCTATTACTACTTATTTAGTGTTGTACAACACTGCATTTAAGTTAAATGCAATTCATCATATAAGCCCGGCGACTATTGACTAAAGACACCGTAAACTTAAACATTATCTTTTTTAGTTACTTGTAGTTAACATAGGCCTACAGTAATGTACTGCAACTATTCGTCAGTGCTGTAAAATGGTGTCATACACTGAAAGGGTCAATATCCCGCTTTTTTTTAATCACTAAATGTGCCTGCCGACAGCTGAGAGCCTCCTTCTTTCAGTGTCTCGCAATTGCCTTCTTTTAGCTAGTCGTCTTGAAGGCGTTTAACAAAAATATACAGTTCGCAGGATTATTTGAGTGTTGTAAAACTCAATGCTCAATGTTACTTTTAACACAAGCACTGAACTATCTACTGCTTTTTCATATTCTATATATTAATATATATTATTTTCGGTGATTCAATATTCACTGAACCTTTCGCCAAGATGTCCGACTGGCTTTTCAGCAGGTTAAGTGTTGCAAAACGCTTTGCCACATATATTTGCTAAATGATACAACCTAAACAAGCTGCTGATGGCTAAATGTTTGTCATAATCAGCAAATACAAACATCAATTTGCGGGGCTTTAAGATTTCGTGTACTGATTGACTGATTCTTCAGCAAGTGAAGTGTTGTAAAACGCTATGCAGCATCTTGTTGCTCAATTAAACATCTGAAACAAGCTGTAAACTGTCAATTGCTCTCTCAATTAGCAAATCTAAATATAAATTTCTGATGCTTTAATATTCTATTCTCCTGAGCCTTCCGTCAATTTATGCAACTAGTTTTTCAGCAAGTTCAGTGTTGCAAAACACTGTATAACACTTAGTTGCTAAATAATACCGTCAAAACAAGCTGCTGACGGCTAAACGCTTTCGTAATCAGCAAATCGAAATATCAACACAAACTTTTGGCCAACCGACCCACAACCCTCCAATCCCACCTGACTCGGTTCGCGGCCCGCAGATCCTTTGGCTGCAAAAATGGGTGTACAAATGTTTATTGCCTACTTGCGGATATTTGGCGTAGGCCGCACATTTCGAAAACATTGAAACATTTTGTAGGCATTTATGCAACTCATTTGATTTACGATTCGCTTTAATGGGCTGCTTGGCCGGCGGCTTACATTGGCAGCGAGCGGCAGGACGGCCGGGCGGAAGGGCTGCAGGGCGGGCAACAACGAGCACGTACATGCCACAAGCTGCTTTGCCAAGCTGCCACGCTGTCGAGCGCTGTCGAGCGCCGTCGAGTCAGTGCCTCAACCGGGGCCCCGACAAGGTCGCGAGTGCTAACCTTTAATCTCTCTACGTGCGTGCCCGTCCAACTGGCTCAATGTGCCTGTGCCTGTGCCTGTGCCTGTTCCTGTGCCTGTGTACTTCTGTTGTTCTTGCCAGCTGAGCTCTCTGCTCGCTCCGAACTCGTCCCGAACTCGTCCCGGCTGCCGTTCTGCCAAATTTCGACTCCCAACATCCAGTTCCCAATTTCAGTTGCCAGACCAGATGCAATGGCTGCGTCTCCCGTTACCATTTCCACATACAACTTTGCCAAGGGTTGAAAAGCGACAGGCACACACATACACACATAAACACACACGTTCCGCATTTGAAGCTCAACAAATTACCAAAGGCCAAAGCCGTTGCTGACCGGCCGACCAACGGGCAGTGCCTGTCCGTTTCCCCCCGGGCCTAGGCCTAGGCCTCGGCCCATTGTGTGTAAATATTTTGAGGCACGCGTGTGTTCCTTGCTCTCATTATAAAGTTTAGCAATCAACCCTCAAAGGACACACACAGGCACACACACAAACACACACACACAGAGATGCACACACATAATTGAAACTTATGTACTTTTAGAATTAGATTTGAATATTTATATACCCTATAGCATGTACAAGTTACCCACACAGTCCATGCACAACTTCAAAGGACACTTTTATCACACTAGCTATTTTAATGACATCCTTCACGTTACGTATTTACGTTTCAATTGATATCAGAGTCCTTGGCATACGGCGAAGGGTCCAGCTTAACTAGCTTAACTTCCATAGCTTTGCCAAATTCAAGCAGAGTTTATTTCCATCGTTGTTCCATTGTTGCTGCATCTAAATTCCACACTTTATTTAATACATCTTCTTCTCGATATTGCTGCCTATTTATCTCATAAAATGTTCAAACATTTCATGCGAAATGTCACTTTATTCATGGTCAAGATTTTGCTGGCTTTTCAAATAAGTTATTTCCTTGCAAGCTTCAACTGTTTTTTTTTTTTGCCATTTTCAACACCCTAAATGTAAGAAATGTCTGTTCACGATTAAAAAAGCGAATTTTACGCATTTTACTTTCATCTTGAATCAATTCAATTTTTACAAGGCGACTAGTTAAACAAGAATTCGAGATACTGAAAAAACATTATAAATTTTCATCTCCCAAATCTGAAAATTATGCTTCTAAATTCGAACGGAGGGCTCGAAAACTGTGCACCTGAGAGGAATGTACCCCACCTTAATGTCGATATAGCCAAGACCTATGTATCTACCCATTTGTTCACCTTGAGCCATATTTATGCTGCAGCAAGTTTATATCTCCAAGTCGGCCAGATTGAAGCACTAAAACATGTAGCTACTACGGGTCAGACTCGATTAGATTTGTAAGAATCCCGTTGGTTGACTTCAACAACCCTGCCTGTTAGCAGTTTTTTATGCTACAAACAACAGACTTCTAAGTCATAGAGCTATTGCAATCGATTGGTAAATTCAATTGTGCTCCACACTGGACAACGAAACTCCAGTCCTTCGAGTACAGAGAGAAACTCAGCCTGCTCGTTGCTAGACTCTATAACTTGCTTCGCTAGAATGTGCTCCGGAGTTTTTTTCACTCTAAAAGCGGAATCTGCATGTGTAAACCTCCAGAATTATGAGCTTTTGCAGGTGCTAATCGTCAGTTTTGTCTGTTCTTAACTAAGGAACAAGCTTTGCATTCTTGCAAGCGATAGGTCTGGGAAAAGGGCGACAGCCTGAACTGAAGTAGAGAAGGCTCAATAGGTCACAGCAGAGTTCACAGTAGGACCTTCAATGAACAATTAATAATCATAATACTAATAATAATAATATAACGGTATGTGGGTCCTATAATCATAACAATAATAATAATAATAATATTGATATTAATAACAAATATGATAAGAAGAAGAATAAATAATTCCAATAGAAAGAATTTGAACGATCTGCAAATTTAAGGTGTTTCCTATAAATTCTCTTCTTTCTGTTTGGAAAACTATTCAAAGGTACAGCAAAGGTACAACTGGCCTTTTCACATTGGACTATCATATATTAGGTTCCAATATTGTGTTACAGAAAAACAATCGGAAATGTTCATTTCTAGTATGTCTGAAATGTGTCCAGTCTCAGTGCCCAAGTGGATAAATTTAGTTTGCTGTAAATATTATTTTGTGCTATATTCAAATTGAATTGTCAAATATTTCGGTATTTGTACGCTTTTCGTCTGCTTAAATCTGCGCAATTTCCATGGAGTTGAATTACATTTCGGTCACTTTTCCACTTTTCCGTGTTTCTGCTAATTGTGAGTGAGAAACTTTCAAGGCTGGACAACTTGAAACTAATGCAAATAACAGTGGGCAACCATTGAATATGCACACCAATACCACAGCAGATACTCACACACACGCAGATAGAGAGAGAGAGAAAATACAGTTAGACGGCAACGGCAACGGCAATGGATGCGCATCGTAATGGCGGCAGCGGGTGGATTTACGGCTGGATGGTCGGTTGGCAGCCAAAGGCCGTCGACAGTCGACAGTCGGCTGTCCGATGTCCGATGTCCACACGGTCCGGAGTCCGCCATGGGTAGCCGGTGGTGTTTGCTTGCCGGCAGCAATAACCCTTTTTCACACACACACACACACACAAACACACTTGCACACTCGCACACACACTGTGTTGGCTTTGTGTTGGTGCTCGCCCACACCCGCCATGTCGGACGCAGTGCGCCTGCCTGTCCGCCATCGCCATCGGCCCGCCACCCAAGAACCCATCTCATTAAATAATTCTGACCATTTGAAAGCGAATTTAACCTTTTGTTCTCAACAAGAACGTGAGAACAAGAACCAGAACGGGAGCGGGAGCGGGAGCGGGAGCGGGTTTGGGGCTTGGGCTGACTTCAGCTGGGAATTGAGAGCATTGCGAATCAGCCATGTGAAGCTGCAGCCATGTCGTAAAAAAGCACACACACACACAGCCTTATGCTACACACATGTTTACACACACGGACACACACACACGCTAGCTATATACAACTCCGAGCCGACGCTGGGGGCCTTTTGTGCTCGTTGGCGACTTGGCTTCGGTTTTTTGGCTTCTAATTGTTCCCCTTCCACTTCTGGTCGTTTCTCATGTAGTCGTCGTCGTCGTCGTCGTTGTCACTCGATGCCGCCGCCCCGTTGCCAAGCTCACGTGTGTGTGTGCGTGTGTATTGGGTGTAAATTAATTTGAGACCACTCGAAAGATATTTAAATGCGCGTCGTTCAGCATGTGTGTGTGTGCGTGTGGATATACCTTTGAAAAGTATTTCAAACAAATCACAAACAGATATTCGACATTCATTGTTTTTAGGTCTAGACAAGGCGTCTTGACAAACCCACCCAAGAGCAGAGCCGCACCCTAAACCAAGCCCAAACTCAAAATCCATACCCTACCATCCCCTGCCGCCCCTGCCATCCACCTTTCAGCTCCAGCAAAAACTACACACATTCCGCATTCGTCAGGCAAATAATTTGCTTATGATCAACATTCCGGCAACACATTTGGGAATTACTAAGGGCCGCGGGAATTACGTCCCCAAGAAGTAGACTATGAAATTGTTTATCCCAAATGAAAAACGTGTGGGATTCTTCTTCTGTGTGAATACGATATCTTGAAAATAGATGTGTTGTTACATAAATGAAGAGAGTTCTCTTTTTGGGGAGGGGGCCGATTGCCACTCGCAATCGCAAAAACCTTATATGGAAGACCCTTACTCACCCTCACCTTCAACTTAATTATATTAAGTTAGTTTTAAGAAGAATCAAAACATTGGTGAAATCTCTTTTAAACGAAATTAAAAGAATTAAGTCACATTATTTAACACAAATATTCCCTAACCTGGCCCTGGGTACGAATACTCTTCCACTTTGTCTTATTAACTAGTAAACTTAATACCTTTGATGACATTTCCGTTTAGAAAGATATGTGAAAATATCTATGAAAGCCGAATATTTTGCCTTATTAGATCCTACCATTACACCGATCTTTCCTTTAACAGCTATATTATATAGTTGTTCGATGTTGATAGGGACCCCAATCATCGGTTGCCAACATACTCTACAAGGCTTCTTCTTCTTGATCTTCCCTCGTCAACCAACCGTAGAACAATCCAGGGTATTGTCTTCCTACATAAATTGATTGTTGATGACATAGATTCTTCTTTTCTGTTAGGGCGTCTTCAACCTACTTCTTCTACTTCTTCGACCTACTTGGAATTATCGCCCTTTATTTCTACTAACGTGCACAACAGATTACGCTATGCTCAATTCTTTTCGCGTGTTATGTAAAAACTAGAATAGTTTGTAATCCGTTTTCTCCACCAAACACTCTCTCTACACCTAATGAAGTCCTTGCTTTCAGGATACCTACGGGTACTCACTGACTATTCCCATCTATGAGCAGGGGCTTAGCTTGCCGGACAGGCTATACATTTCCTCCCACCGGGTCGGTGATTTCCCATTACTTTCCCAAAACTGTGTATTCTAAGTTAGAATTTCTAACTAGGCTTTTAGCATTTAATATTCATAATGTGATGAATTGAATAATTAGAAAGACCATTAATAAATAAGTAACTAAATACTGAAACTTATAAATGTCGAGTTTGGGAAAGATTTCACGATAATAAAAGAGAGACAGACCTATAGAGATGATAGCTTTCAATCCGAGAGACTAGTTCGTATAGACACAGACAAACAGGCGGACAGACGGACGGACGGACGGATGGACGGACGGATGGACAGACGGACATGGTTATATCAAATCGGCTGTTAATGCTGATCTAGAATATATGTACTTTACGGGCTCGGAGATATCTTCATATATCTTATAACTCATAACATTAATGGCGATCATTAAATGTTAAGATAATTGTGTTAAGTGACATGGAAATTCGCGAACAATTTCCTTCTGCCCATCTAAAAATAATAGAGAAGCAAAATAAGTAAACAAATATTTCATATAAAACAAAACTTTTATATAAAATAAAACATATTAAGTTGGTCAGACATTATATTAAAATATATATATATATTTATAACATCCTAGGTAAATAATAATCAGATATGTCAGTAATACGATCTAAGAGCTCCTATTGAAAGCCAAACGATCGCGACAATTTAATTAATGCCTCACTCTTTGGCTTTGGCTCAGGTAAAATTTGAAACCTGAGCTATGCAAATACCCTACTCAGGTAGTTGTTAACTGTTTTAAAACTGATTTCTCTGTCTCACTTTTTCCCTTTCGCTATCCTCACCACTTTGCGTCCCTTTCAGACCCGTGGAAAACATAGCCACAACATTTTTGGTTATTAGGGGTTGCTTCATAGTCGAGATCAGTAACTACCCCTAACAATAACAATAAAGAAAAACTCGCGATTGGGTAAAATATGATTCCAATCAGATCGGGGAGGTGCCTACAGCTTGACCTTTTGCAGTGCCGGCTGGATCAATATTTCGGACGCCACTGTAGCGCATATCCTAGGGAACAGGAGTCGCTGCAGAAAAGTCGTCAGTTGCTGAGATTCCGTTGGCTAACTAGCAGTTATTTTAATTTGATCGCGACTGCAAATTATCACAAGAACAGAAGAACATTGCATATATGATTCTTCCTTTTAATAATCTAAATAAAACTTTGAAATTTAATTTAAATAAAAACTGTTTGCAAGTAATAAATAACCCAATATAATTTCAATAACTTTGAATACGTTTTATTCCAATCGACAAATTCGGAGTAGCCTATTTGCAAGAATTCTCAAATATTCACGACTTAACATGAGTACTTTTGAGCAAAATGTTAACTCACTGTTAAGTGTTCAGGTCTAACATTTTGAACAGTTTATTTGAAAAAAAAGACGTGTGTATAAACGTGGTGTATGTATATAAGGAATTATGTTATGTAGATATATTATCATATTGGGAAAATAAGCTTAACAATAGGATAGGAGATAGGAATATAACTAAATTAATAATAAATAAGACCGGTTAACCAAAGGACGTGGCAAGTGTTCTCGAATGTCACAAGGCGCACCGTGATACATTTATTGTTATTAACATAATGTGAGAATAATATGAACTAGATTAAATATCTTGAGTTCCCCAAATTAAAAGCCTAACTTATCTTATATTACTTGTGAAAGCGATTAGGAAGATTAGGGGCTAGTTTACTTTTCTAGTTTACTTCTTTCAATACCTCGCAAATAATAATAATAACAATAATAATAGAGCAGTAAGAGGCTTTGGTCTAAAATTCCCGACTTGAGGATATCCTGAACCCTCTTCTATAAACATATACTATATATACTACTCTAGAAGCTATATGTCAGGGCTGGTGACTCTAGGTCTTAAAACCTTAAAGATTCGCTCAGAAAACGAAATCGATTGGAAACGGGGCGAGCTATCGATTATCGGAAATAACTAGTACTGCGGGGGAACTACGAGGAACTATGCTCGAAACATTTCAAGTCTCTTTTGACCCTTTTCCATGGGTTCAGGGTATAAAAATATATAACATATATAAATAAATATTTAACTAACAGAATAAAATCAATTTTGGGACTATTTCAACAATTAATTTTAAATATTATCTTTCAGATAATATCCTTTCAATGTGTTCAGGGTATAGGAATATATAACATAAATAAATAAATATTTAATTCAATTAACAAGAAACTCGAATTAAAATTTAGACGGAATAAAAGCAATTTTGGGACTGCTTTAAAAATTCATTTTGTATAATATCTTTCAGATGACTTCAACAAATATTGAAGAACGCATATTACGTAATTAATTGCATCAAAAAAAAAAGAAAAGAAAATCTCTCACATATTGCGCACACAACCTGAATTTGTCAACTTTAAATATGAAAAACATTGCCATACTAAAATTAGTCAAATGTCTTGACCTTCGAAAACCGAAAATGTATTCGTAATGATTCAATTGTCTAATCAATTTGAACTTTGGTGCCGAGCTGTGACGCGTGTCTCAAGATGAACATCAAGAGGTGATCGAGGCGAATGCCAAAGGGCCGAGGCTGGACAAAGACCAGTTGTTGTCCAGTTGTCCGGCTGTCCAAGATCTTTGGCTGGCAGCAACCCCGAAGACGAGCTCCTCGAAAAAACCCGTTTGCCGTGTGGCAATGCACTCGTAGATGGACCTTGCCCAATGGTCAAATGTCCTGCGACTTGGACGAGAAGTGCGGTCAGGCCAAATGGCAGGCACCCCAATTAGGCGGCATGTTTTAGCTTTTCATGGAAAACCCCCTCGAGGAAAATCTGCAAAATGATTGATTTGTTTTTTTGTGTGTGCTTCAAAGTGCGTCGCACAACTACGCTGAAAGTGCATAAAAATGCCGACAAAAATTAATCATGTTTTATGCGTCAAAACTTGAACGCGACCTTGCAAAGGGTTAACGCACAGGGGCAGGGGGAGGCGCCACAAAGTGGCAACGGCAACGGCAACGAGTATCGAGTATCGAATTACAGCGCCGGACGCAGGAACTAGTCAACCCGCCTCCAACTCCAACTCCAACTCCTCCTCCTCCTCCTCCTCCTCCTCCTGCTCCTCCTCCTCCTCCTCCTCCTCCTCCTCCACCTCGATGTTGCTGTTGTGTTTGTTGTTATTGGTTTTTTATAAGCCATAAAAATCGCAAATTCGGGCCGCTGTCCATTTGCCAGATGGGCCAATTGACGTCCGCATATATGGCATATCCTGCATATGCCTAGCCGAGCGCAGTGGGTATTCCGTCGGGGCCAACCTTGGGCCATA